AGATTTAAAAACTGTGCGAGTTGTACGAAAATGGAAAAAGAAAATCGAACTTACTAATTACGACTTATTAACAATATGACTATACCTCCCTGGTATAATAAATGATCTGGCCAATCTATAATCATTTGATTAAAAGAATTCCTACGGTTATCGTTGATACATTCTACCCTTATGTCCGCACGTTATAATACCGGCGGCGTGTATCGAGACGATTTCTTATTTAATTCGTAATAAGATGATTGTGATGGTGGTGATTTTTGAAATATATATCACGATGTCTGGACGAGTCGAGTGTTTGGCAATGTAGTTAGTGAAAGTATCGCCAAACACCGTCATGAGACGACATAGTTTCTTTACCGCGTCTTCGCCGGCAGTTGAAAGCATCAGTTAATAAGTCATTAGTTACTATTATCGTTGTCGCGACGGATAAGTATAAAACGTAGAATATTATATCTTCTCTACCGTTTAGCATTCTACGATTCTAACGGCGTTTAAGCGACGGTCTTCGAACCAGATATACCCCGTTGACCGTTTTCATCAATGTCACCGAGATAGTTATTACCCTATCATTAAAGGTTTTTGCAATTCTTGATTTCGTCTATTCACTAGCAAACCATCTCATTATTAAATCACAGACTGTATCTTGAATTAAAGTTACTGACGGCCGAGCTAAGAGCTGAATTAATACTTCCGTTGCTGATTCATGTGTCTCTTCACGTGGAAATAATTCGATAACGTGATTAATCAATGGCAAGAGAAACCTAAGATTAAATACGACGTTTTGTCAACAAAATAAAATCTAATAATCAACCTATGCACGCTGGGATTTTTGGAAACCTACTCAAATGGCATATTGAACGCTAGCCAGCTTTCCAAGCGGCAAAGGCTTTTGAGTGACCGATCATTTTGAGCCAGAAATGATTGCAACGTCGGCATTACCAATGGAATTGCATCTGTTAACTCCTTATGCACGCTTGTCCTGAATCAACATGCCATGTAAATATGTTTCCATACACTGACACACCCATTAACCAACCCAACTTGTAGTTACCTCTGATTATCAACAAAATCGGTAGTCGAAACTTCCTCCGAAAACACAGTCAAATGTTCTAACAGGGTAGCTCCCGGCTAAATCTTGTCTCCCAAGTGTGATTGTCCCTGATTGAAGATACCGAAACAGCTCTGCTATACATATGTTTCCGCAAGCTAGGAGAAACAGATTTATTAAATGAGAATTTTCACAAAGACCAATTTTGACATAAATTGCGTGGACTGATAGAAAGAATGAGTGTTACCACGGTTGACAATTTTGTGGTGACGGTCGATGGACCGTTGAAGAAGTGAAAGCGAATTAATTCGTCACGAAACCAAGGTTTGCGATCATCCAGCAAGGAATTCCTAAAGAAGTATCCGGCCGATTGGTGAAGATATCGTATAGAAGAGAACAGGACAACGGATTGATCAAGACAGGCACCTACCAGTCTCTATAGAGACCTTGGCCTGGAAAGTGTGGGGACCGAAGAATTGGGAGTTTACAGCCTGATAAATGTTGGAGTTATGAGCATTAGTAGTAATCACCATCGCCAGTAACCCATAGCTAAGCTAAGTGAATGAGATAAATGTATACCCAAGTGGATGTTAACGGTAGGAATTCGATCAATTTCCATGTTTTCGCGTTAAAGATGATAATTTAACCGCCATAATAATTTGTTCGAGTCATCCACGTGACCATATCCCTATTAAGATTCAACTCGCATCACTTTCCCCTTTTTGGTTCTGTCACATTTTTTAATAACACGTGAACTATATTACTGATAATCGCGACAGACTCTTATTTAACGGCTTCCGTTTACCTAATGGTAGAAGGTATCAAGTTATTGATGCTGAGTCAACATCTGATGATATTATCTGGATCCAAGGAGTCAATAAAGCTTGAAATTTGAGCTGTACGAGGTTACATTTTAAAGATCCACGCGTATTACGTCGATAATATTATGAATTGTATAGCAGGTTATATTATAAGTTACAACGACATATGTTCCTTCGATGCAATAGATGATAATTAATGCGGACAACAGGCAGGAGCAATAATAGACGATATTAATATAGCATTTTATTATCCTAAATACATATTGTGTGAATTCCTTAACTACTAAATATACACATTGTTGTCAGCGACATTAAATTAATTAGCAAACATGTAAATATAAAGGCATTCTAATTGGTTATAATTAAATTTATGATTGCTTTGCTAATTAGAAAATATTAGCACAAGAATGGGCTACAAAGTTTATGAGTAATTAACAAAATAACTTAGGTTTTATAATAAACTAGTAATGCTAACACGCAAATTCTACCTTTCCCTACTCAAACTGACACCTCCCCCAGCACTCTCCTCCCAGGGCATCTCTTCGGGGGGCCTCCGAGCTCGTGACATTTGCAGATACTACTGCTTTCACTAAAATAATTAAAAATTAATAGTTAATAAGTGTATCTTTTTACCAATTTATTGATACTGACTTGTAAAATACCTTTTAAATAAGACTATCCTCCTCCATATTCTCTTCCCCTTCTTCGCTCGACAATGACTCGAGCGAGTCATCCAGCGTCTGCATAATACGCTGGAGCCTCAGCTTGAGGGTCTCCTGCGTGTGCCTTGGTTGTCGCGGTTTTTGAGGCCTCTCCGCGAACTCGCACGTTGCCTGCAATTATCGCAAGGCTTAATTCCTGTACCCTTATTATTTTTCTTTTGGCATGAGACGCATGCCATGGGTACTTTGCTTCTCCGTGCGGCATAAGGGAAGTGTTTTTGCTGACGGGTGCATGAATTGAAAAAAAATTCTGGGGGATAAGGGGAGTGTTCTTTGTGCAGGATAATGGGAGTGTTCTGCGTGCAAAAGAGAATGTGCTTTTGAGTGTTCGAGATGTTTGAGATTAACATGATTTGGTTTTTTTTTTTTTTTTGTTTTAATTCACACCCCGTCCTTTTTATGCACATGCGTCGTCGGTAAGGCGAATGTTAAAGCTAGTGTAACAATTCATTGAGAATAGAAAATACGCCAAGCAAGAGCCTTTTTTTAGTATAACCAGGATATTTTGATACGAGAGCACAAATTTTAAGTTTGCTGATTCCGTGTGGCTGTTCCGTTTGGGAACCGAAAGTTCGTAAATGATTGGGTATCAAAAAATTTGGGGCTGTCTTTGTATTGTAATAATTAGGCATCAAAAAATTTTGGGCTGGCGTACAAAGGCCCGGTTCCAGAATTTTTTATATTTTTATTTGATTGCCGATAGCTGAACAAATAATTTGTCTTTCTATTGTTCCCGACTAGTATTGTCCATAAATGATTGGGTATCAAAAAATTTGGGGCTGGCGTACAAAAGCCCGGTTACAGAATTTTTGATATTTCACGTTATGCAAGTTTTGATTGCCGATAGCTGAACAAATAATTCGTCTTTCTATTGTTCCCGACTAGTATTGTTCATAAATGATTGGGTATCAAAAAATTTGGGGCTGGCGTACATTAATGTACGCTCATCGAGTACTGAACAGTGCAGAGAAAAATTATAGCGCGACTGATTAGTCATAAAACTAAACAAAGAATTTGTCTTTGTATTGTATTGAGAGCACATAACGTTACATTTGATTCAGTCTTTCATCAATATACTGTAGGAAGAATATTTGATTTGTGAATTCAATTTGCCCCTACCCTGTAATAATGAACATGTAAATATAAGGCATATTCAATCGTTTTCTAATTGGTTATAATTAAGTTTATGATTGCTTTGCTAATTAGAAAATATTAGCACAAGAATGGACTATCTTTTAGCTACAAAGTTTTATGAGTAATTAACAAATTAACTTAGGTTTTAATAATAAACCAGTAGGAACATGCTTCGCGGAGACTCTTTGCAGAAGCCGATTCATAAAACTGATTGTATTCATATATCCTTGTTTGTAAATCAGAAAATTTTGTAATGGAAAAGGTATTACTGTATATTTAAATATTATGACTCGTAAAGTTTGTTAGTCGTATGCGGTTGACTTGCAAGTATGCACATATTATAATATCAAAGTATGTGGTATTAGGATACCGTATGTGTGTGAAGAACGGATAATTCTCAGATATAATATTGCAATATGTAACAGTGAAAACCTGAGACAGGTCCCCAACTGAGGTACAACATGCATACTAATACTAATGACCCGTTTTCGGATTTGACCCATTGTTGACCCATTTCGGGGGTCGATTTTTTGCAAAATGTGAAAAATTTTTTATCAGTCTTTATTATTTATAGTATAAGTTTCTACTTGTAAATTGCGAATAATTAACACAATAGTTATTTGTAAGGCGACAGCTTGGGTTATAAATATTATATATAAAACAATCATTTCTGGAATACTGTATAGTTCGCTATATTCTGCATCAGCAGCTATCTAGTATGCCTGAGCTACAGCCCAGTTTATACCACCCTCCATCCAAAACGTCCACCACCTTGCATGGGAGAAACAAACCTTTGCCGATCAGGGGCTGGGATTTGACATCCCCGGTTCTGTAGTATCCTCTTCCAATCATGCATATTTATTATTATTGATATATTATTGCACATTATGAAGCGATGTAATAGTAATAGAGTATGTCAACAACATGACAATGTATCATACGACTTATTTGATCTTTACAGAATGCAATGGCTTTGGGATTAATGGGCCCGAGTTAATTAAACGCGTAGTTATTATTATAGGTCAAAACCACATGTTATGTCTATAGAAATATCAAGTATGCTTTTCGATAATATAATCAAATATAACGTTAATTTGTAAGTTAAAAAAAGGCTTGTTATACATATTTGGTATAGTCTACAAAATATCTGTTAGTGTGTGTTACAGTGATAAAAAATTTTCACATCAATAATGGAAATGTGTGCGCACATAAAAGAAATGTTACAGTGAGATCTGAGAATTGGTTTATTTATGTGGAGTGGTACGTGTAGTAGTAATGGTTGTTGTAGAAAAGGAAATATATTCCATGATGGAATATGACGAGGGTATATTGTGAGACATCTTGCAATGATCGAAATATCCGACAAGGTTTTATAAACTTAAAATTTAGTATTACTGGAACTGCTATCGTTCCTTATGAACGAATTGATTTTTGTAAGATGTGAATTCTGTTTCAATCTACTGCACATTACGTCACCAGGAGATAAAAACACTCAGAAATTAGAGAATTGGTCAGAAGCTATTTAGAGCTAAAACGGGTAAATTATTTTGGCCTATCCTTAGCCTTTTGAAATTCGTTAAATATTCCGAATTTAGGGAATTGCGATTTTTTGTTAATATTAAACGAAAATAAAGACACTTGTGCCAAATAAAACCTACGCATCAACTTCTACTTAGTATCTACAGTGTGTAAAAATAGAAGCTCTTTGAACACATATATTTTATGAAATATAAATTGTTTTACTCTGCGGTTTTTTTTTTTATATTTTGATGTAAACACTTGCGGTTGTTTTTAAACTGTCAAACAAGTTCAATATAGGAAAAGTATGTGTAGAACGGTTTATTGTTATAGTCGAAGAATGAAATTCTATTTCTGATAAAATGTTAAGCTATTAAATAAAGTATAAAGCTTATTCATTACTCTAACCGTTGTAGCACAACAATCAATAGTTTTTTTTTTTGCATCTTTTATATAATTCCTAATGTTATTTACTGTATCGTGTGAATAATTTAATTGCTTATTTAAACGTGAAATCAGTTGATCATCTGGTATTTTGATGTTTGGCTAATAGTGTTATGCGATCGATAAAAATTTTAAGGAGTAGGCACTGTATGTGCATAAATACACACGCACGCACGCACACACAAAAATATTGTCACACCAATAATTAAACGACATAGTAAAAGCTATTTATATTAATTGATATAAAAAGTGCAATCTCTTATTATGCTTGTAATACATCTCAAACTAACTAACATCAACCGTAATGAGGAAATAACTGTATGTCACAAGCCGAGTTTCTAATTGGTATCATCATAGTCAATTCAAACCTAACCAACCGTAATCCACTATTCGCAATCCTAATCAGACTGAGTCAAGACAAATGCCTCACATTCAAAGTTCAACACCTTTTTTCACAAATAGATGTCCATGTTTTCATACAAAAAAAATTCACGTAAACTGTATTTCCTAACGTAGTGATTTTACGAATATTACCGCTACTGTATCTGTCCACATATAGCAGAAACCACTCATTGCATCATATGACATTGCCGTTTCTCTGTAAGTAAAAGCGCACCAACATCTTATGCAAAGTCAATAATGCTGGCTCCTCAACTTATAGAATGGATGAATTGAGTGACGTACATTGAACGACACTTACGGCAGTTAAACCAATTGATATTGAAGATAAGCCGCACAGCTCAAAAAGGCTTTCGAGAATTGGTATAAAAAAACTAGTGAAAAAGTAAAGGTTCGATATGTAATACAATTATGTAACACTTTGGTGTTATTAACTAGCATGTAGAATTTTGTTTAGCACAAGTACCTTTTATCGTGCAAACTTTTGTTGCCGGTGAAACAGCTTTCACTGTTACATATTGCAATATTATATCCGAGGCAAAAGAGAATTATCTGTTCTTCACACACATACGGTATTCCAATACACATACTTTGATATTATAATATGTGTGTTGTGCCTCAGTTGGGGACCTGTCTCAGTTCTGGACTGAGACTACTGAGTTCTGGACCGAGTGTCTGGGTTCTGGACTGAGACAACTGAGTTCTGGACTGATCCGAACTGAGACAGGTCCCAAACTCAGACACAACATGTGCATATCAACCAACAAACTTTACAGTTACAGCTAAGTCATAATTTAAAATATACAGTAATACCTTCTCCATTACAAATTTTTCTTTGAATACAATCAATTTTATGAATCGGCTTCTTATACCCAATTAGCATTAGTCTCCGCGAAGCATGTTTCTAGCATTGTTAGTTTATTATTAAAACCTAAGTTGATTTTACAAAGTCTATTAATTGCTCATAAAACGATAGAAACAATATGCCACACGTCCTGCCATTCTTGTGCTAATATTTCTAATTAGCAAAGCAACCATAAACTTAATTACAACCAATTAGAAAGCCTTTATATTTACATGTTCAGGGGGCAAATTCATAAATCAAATATTCTTTCTACGAATCAAATGTAATGTTATGTGCTCTCTAATAGTCGGGAACAATACAAAGACGAATTCTTTGTTCAGTTATCGGCAAATATAAAAAATTCTGGAACCGGGCTTTTGTACGCCAGCCCCAAATTTTTTGATGCCCAATCAAACAGAACAGCCATACGGAATCAACAAACTTAAAATTTGTGCACTCCCTTCACTCGCTGTCTTGCATATTTCCATTTCTCAATGTTACACTAGCTTTAACATTCGCCTTACCGACGCATGTGCATAAAAAGGACGGGCGTGAATTAAACAAAAACCAAATCATGTCCTCAAACATCTCGAACACTCCAAGCACCTATATTTCTCCTCCACTATATCAACAAACCTCTTATCCCGCACGAAGAATGGTAGGCCAATATCCATACAAAGATAAAATGGCGATTCGCAAGAAGGTACAAGCGTGTTTGTCGGCTTGCCTCCCCAGACCACCAAAGCCCGTCGCCCATGGGATCTCATGCCAAAATAATAATAATAAAGTTAAGCCTTGCGATAATTGCAGGCGTACCGAGAGGTCTCAAAACCACAACAGCCAAGGCGAACACTCCAAGCACCTCGACTGCCATTTATCCCGCACGAAGAAGCAGAATGCCCAAGGCATGCGTCTTTTACTCGCTGTCTTGCGTATTTTCTATTTCTCAATGGATTGTTACACCTTTAACATTCGCTTACCGACGCATGTGCATAAAAAGGACGGGTGTGAATTAAAACAAAAAAACTAAATTCAATCATGTCTTCCAACGTCTCGAACACACCAAGCACTTCGACTGCCCCTTATCCCGCACGAAGAAGCAAATCCTATGGCATGCGTCTCATGTCAAAAGACAGCGGTCGAAAAAATATTCGCAAAAAAGCTAATATTGCGTGCTTGAATTGCAGCGCCAGCAAAAACATTGAACCACTTTACTTACACAGGAATTAAGCCTTGCGGTAATTGCAGGCGTACCGCAACACGTGCGAGTTCGCCGAGAGGTCTCAAAAAACCACTCCAAATACCTCGACTGGACTGCCTATCCCGCACGAGGAAGCAAGTACCCATGGCATGCGTCTCATGCCAAAAGAAAAAAATCAACAGCGGTCGAACAAAAGAGCCGTAAAAAAGCCAACACAGCGTGTTTGAATTGCAGCCAGCAAAAACATTGAACCACTTTACTTGCCACCTTATACTCCGGAAATTAAGCCTTGCGATAATTGCAGGCGTACCAACAACACGTGCGAGTTCGCCGAGAGGTCTCAAAACCGCGACAGCCAGGATATAGTCCACTTTTGAAGGTATTTGCATCATAGAACCAGGGGCTCAAAAGGTGGCTGCTTAGACCATTAGCTTTAGTCACGTGCTCAGAGTAAGACCCTCCCGAAGAGAAGCTCTGGAAGGAGAGTGCTGGAGGCTGCTGTCAGTTTGAGGAATATAGGTCGCTCAGGCGATCAAAATAGACTTTACTACTGCTTATCCGCTATCGCCTTATTTTTTGGGGGGATTTTCTTCCCGCATTTAATAGTTGAATATTGTTCTCTTCTAACATAGCAATAACTTCTCAGTCAATTCATAATTTCAATATATTGTTATACTAATACGGCGAATTTAATAATAGTGTTTAAATAGAGATTTACGATTAATATTATAATTAACATTAGCATCGTAGTAGTTGATAATATTTTAGCAATAGCTATCGACCATTTAAATTTCAGAATAGCTATTCCGCAGTAGCAATTTAGATATACACTACTACTAACTTATCATAAATTACCGATTTCACGAAACTTTACTAGTAAAACATATGAAAAGTCTTTCTTTTCAGAAATCTCTCCTGCCCGTGAAATGACAACAGTGTTTGTATGATTTTGAAATTAATTGATTGCACTTTTCGAATAAAATTTTATACATTTACCGCTATAAAGCCGTAGCATGTTGAAGTGGTTGTCTTTAAATTATGATATAAAATATATAATTATACAGTATTAGTATATGTAAAGCACGTATACACAATTTTATCGAGCTACTATACAAAAGATAGATTGCTATTTTTTTAAAAAAGCACAATCAATTAGTAAAATTATACAGTAATTTGCATAGCATACAGAGATTTTTGAAAAAAAAAACTTTTCATATGTTTTGCTAGGGTAGTTTGCTAGGATAGTGTACATGACAAATTCGATAAAATAAAGTCACTTTAAGAATTTTTCCGCCCAAATTTTTTGTATTAAAATACCTCTATAGTATAATTTCATTTTAAACTTCAAGATTCCTAACAAATGAACTTCCACAAGTCGAAGACCTCGACTACTTAAATATTTGCCTCTTTAAATTAAATAAATTTGCTATTTAAAGAATAAGTGTTACCAAACAATCTACCTTGGATAGTACTGTTAGTCCTTCATTTACGAATAAACATAATAATGGGTTGCATACGCCAATTTCTTCTTGAATGCTAGCCTCTCCATTTTAAAGCAATTTGGAGCACTTTTCTTATATCGTCATGCACACGATGACAAAAAAATACAATATTACATTGCCTGTCAAGATAACTTGTATATTAATTCACTCCTAATCATTTCGTACTGAAGGTATTGCCGCATGGGACATGATTTCTATTCCATTCGTGCTGGTTCGTAGCATCAAGGAGTGGGTATTATTCAAGCTTATATTGGAATACATCTTTCTACTATTAACCATTCTTGCCGTTGCAGTCAGACCATCGTCTTTAGACCTTCATAAGAGAGGGTCCTTTACAAAGTGAAAAAAAAGGGAAATTTCCCAAATATTGGGGTTTGAAACAAAGACCTACCATCAAAGTTTGTTCAAGCTGGCCTTCCGTAAGTAGTAAGGAATATATTGGTTCGTACTTGCAACATCAAAGAAATTCTTTAGACTAAGCTTGCACTTGAATTTCGTCTCCGCAGAGAATTTGATATCACCGTATCTTCATCACGACTTTTACTCCTTAGTACTGTACTCCTGTTAAACTTCGGGAATAATATCATTCTCGTTTTCTATTACTCGTTGCACGGTTTC